TTTCGAGTTATTCGAAAAATTGAAATTTGAAAAAACCGTTTTTTTTTTCAAATAGCGGCTCACCTCGGCAGACAGTGCCAAACCTCTGAGTGTACTTCAGCCATAAAAAAAGCAGTAGATATCTTCATTTGTGTACACAACCTCAAGAAGAAGAACACGATTTGGAGGGAAAGCTCGGCCAAACACGTAGAAAAAGTTCAAGCTCCAAACATTCATTTATTGGCATTATGCCCAAATAACCGAGGACATAATTTTGAAACTATTTAGGGGTTTAACTTAAACTGGAAAAAACGTTAAAAACTTCGAAAAACGCGAAATTTTTATTTGGAGGTCAAAATCTGTATAAAATAAAAGAACCGATTTTTATGATATTAAAAAAAAAATAAAGATAAAAAAACCGCCTATAGATATCCAAAAAAAAAAAACGGTGTAAGCCGGTTTGGGAAAACCGAGCCAATCACCCTAGTATTTATGCACATACATATTTATCAGTTCAAAATACATATTTATATACATTTGTATGCATGTATATGTACACACAAATGTAAATTGCAACTGGCTTATATATTTTGAAAACACAAAGAGAAGTTATAATTATTTTCGCGACTGTGTGTTCTAGAAAAGTTGAAAGACGTGCGGAATTCCAAGAAATACATACATATACGTATGTAAATAAATAAAGAGTTAAATAATTACCAGCGCTTATAACGATTCTACATTGCATACTAGACTAAGCTGCTGTAGCAGAATGTTTAGAGGTGCGTGTTACCACTCCGTGGGAAATGGGTACGCTCCTGGTCTGAGCAAAATTTAAAATGAGAGCACGTTTTGTCCATATTCACAGCTTTAACTGTAAATCACAGTTTATTAGACAAGCTTACATTTTTCTCAAATTAAATTGTTAAAATTTCAGATTTTAAGTATAAATTAAATTTTTTTTTGTTTGTGGAAGAAAATTTTTCAAAGCGAAAGAGGCGATGGAGATGCAGCGTTTCTTTTTTTTTTAAATAAAAACGGGTCAGATACATTCCAATCTTAGGGTTAAAAAACCTTTAATATTCGAAAAATGCTTTCGTATTTGAAGCTTATAGTTTTTTTTTGTTTTTGTTGAAAATACAGGTTTTCGGTAACCAATAGCAAACCTTCGAGTTCATTTATGACATGAAAAAGCTTCTCTCTCATAAGACCATTTGTCATTCAGAGGCGGTGTGAAAGTGTAGCTCCCCGCATAAATTAGAGGAGAAGCGCGGCCAAACAATCAGTAAAAGTGTAAGCGCCAAAATGTTAATTTATTTTATACTAGACGG